CCGAATATAATGTTCATAGATGAAAATTTTATAATTATCATAAAAATCTTCAAAATAAATGCATACTTTCAAAATAATTAGTTAGTTTTATATTAATGTTACATAATAGTAAAAAAGATCGAATAAATGTTAATTTCAGATATCAAATTACTACGTAATGAATAATTTTTAATTTCGAATAAATTTTTTTTATTTATATATATATATATATATATATATATATATATATATATATATATATATAAATAAAAAAATTACAATAAAATGAAAAATTACAATAAAATGAAAAATTACAATAAAATAACATATAAATAAAAAAAATACACAAGTATAATTGTAAATATAATGACAATAATGTATATTCCAACTCAATATTAACATGAATTACAATTGAAATTTGCAAGTACAAAGAAAAAGTAAGCGTATCATTAGTCATATTATGTGTGGTAATAAAGATAGAGAGAAGAAGAGCGCGATATTTCTCTCATTATTGCATGATATGACTGAATCGTAATTTTAATATTAATAATATCACCGTGTCCTCTATATTTTCCATTCGTTAATACTTACTTATACCTTGCTTTTTCGTCTTTCATCCTCACACTACATTTATAAACATCTGTATTTTTTTTATTTCTCTAAATTTTAAAGCTATTGATAATTCCTCGATATGATTCCTATTTCTGATTAATCTTCTAAACATAATTTTTAATCATAACTTCTAATTATACTTGTATTTGAAGAAATAGTCACCTAGGCGTATATAATTATTTAATATTGAGATTTTTTTTTTTTTTTTAGTATTATAAAATTGAATAACAATGTAATTTCTTATTTAGTATATTTCTGTATTCTCTTTTATATCTAACTATATCTCTTCATCTCTCAACATATATTTCTTATTTAGTAGTAATATATTTTCCAAATAAATTCCCTAAGAGAAGATTTCGACTGAATTTGATTAATTTTAATACTAATAAATATAGAATGTTTTTATTGGATAAATTTCTGACGCGATCAATTATAACGAATTAAATTATCAAGAGTAAATAAAACATTACGAAAGAAAAATAAATAAGTCATTTGTATTTTATATGCATCGAAAGTAAAAGCAACAGTATTTGTAACATAGAATACATTGGGTAGACAATATTACGAAAACTAAAATAGTGGCGTTGACGTGTCAGTGTCATATAACTATGAAGAGGGTTCGAAACAAAAAATAGTGTCATCTAAATAGAATAATACGAAAGGCGTGTAACATAACATGCCAGTCCCATAAGACGCTTATCTATGGCAAAATCGTGAAAAGAATGAAGGTCGATAACTAACGATGTAAGTTATTTCTTTCACGGCGATAATGCACGGAGACACGAAGGTCGATAACTTATTCTATTACAGTCATTCGCCACTTCGTGCATAATATAAGATTCTCAGAGTTGTCAATGACGCGATAATGATACCTTTCTTCTTCCTAATCATTCTCGTTTTTTTTTTCTCTCGATAAAGTCACGTAGAATTTTCGTCTGTTTAGATAATTTTCCTCATTATGCAGCTTTGGATTACTTTTACCATCACGATATTTTGATTGTAGTCTAAGAGAGAGCGATATTATTACTTCATAAAAATAGAAATTTTACAATTAAAACAAAATTAATTAACGGAGAAGTTATACGGATTTATTCATCTTCTTTTTCTATCAATTGTCGTCAATGTAAATATTAAAGAAAAAAAGCTGAGAATAAGCGTAAATTAAAGATTCATATAAAGTTTCAACTTTATGCAAAATATTAACCCAATTTCTTTTACATCACAAAAACTGAATAAATAATTCTATATTACGGTATTTCGTTAGGTTATTTTATAATTATCGAATGCCGGAATCTAAGTGATACAGCAACATTGCAGATACTACAAAAACTATAAATACAATAATTCTGTAAAAACTATAATTGTTGTTGGTGTTTGCAATTCAATTTTTAAATTGAAAAAGTATATTTCATTTCATTTATTTATCCATTTTATTTGATAAGAGTATTTAGATTCCGTTCGTTTATTGTCAGATGTGAATATAAAAATAAATACTTGTTCATAATTGATTTTGTTAATTAATTACTATACTTACTGATCTGAATTATAGCTATAAAATTATTCAAGGCTACATTGAATAAATACTATTGATGTTAAGCTCTAAAATGGAAAAATTAGTGAAAATTAAAAAGCTCGCGATGAGAGTAAAATTATTAAATGTGTAATCGAGAAAAAAAATTATCGACAATATTTTCCATTAATTAAATTGGCTCAATTATGTTGATGAAATTAAAAAAAAAAAAAAAAAAAAAAAAAAAAAAAAAAAAAAAAAATAGAAAAGTATAAATTTAATGATGTTCGTAAAAAACTGTCAAAAGTGAACTGCAATTGTAAATAACTAAAAACTGATTACTGTTACATTTGATGCTAAATTAAATAAGTGAGATATTTATTAAAAAATTTTGAGGATTCACGTACAACCATACTTTTACATTAAATATTTTTACTTTACGTACTACATCACATACTTTCCACATTGAATTAAATATTTTGTATATTTTATATATTTTGTATTGTATTATATCAATTATTTATATTGTATCGTGTCTATTTTTATTAAATTAAATAAATAATGTGAAAGAAAATTTTTAATTTCAGATATAAAAGATATATATCATTTTGGAATGAGATATATTGTTCTTAATCTGTCTGAAAATTATTATTAATAAGGTAAAAGCTTACATCTTGAACATTTAATATCAATACATATTTAATTTCATATTTAATAGAAAGTTTTCAAATTTCTAAATTTATTATTTAAAAATTTATCATCAATACTAAAGCCAATAGTTTCTAATTTATTGATGTTATTAAATTATTTCTAGAGAATTTGATAACTTGATTGTTATTGAATTTGCAACGAAGAAAAATAATTATAATTAAATGCATAATAATATAGAGTTTGAAAAAATTTATGATTTTTTAAAATATATTTAATACAAAACATTTACAAACTATATTCATTGTTAGCTTTTATCATATGATTTTTATAATTTTCGAATCATGAGTTATGATTGATTTTAAAGATGAATGAACAAGAAAAATGTCTATTTGAAAGAGACCAATAATTGTTAAATTAATATACGCATTAAATCAGGATTGGAGTGAATTGTTTTTTTTTTTTTTTTTTTTTTAATTTTCTCATTCCTATACCCTTCAGAATTTATCATACAATTTCATTCATGATTTATTCCCTTTTTTTTCTTCTTTAATTTATTTGTCATTTTTATTTAGATTTATTTGTTTTTCATATGTTAATTATATTTTTATCACTACTGTAAAACTTTTAAAACATAATTTTGAAATCCATAATATACTTTTTATTATATATACATTATAATATATTGTAACACATAAATAGAATTATAATTTTCTATTACATATTATATTATATGATAGTCGACCGCTGTGCGTTTACATTTACGCAGTACATAATAAATTATAATAGCATATCATCATACGTAGATGTGCACATTAATATTATTTTTATAATATCGTTAAATATAATGACATCCTAGATTGCTTTGGAATATGAAATGCTAAGCCATATGCTAATATAATTGTATTTTGTATTATTTTAATTTAATAGAGGATCGAAATTTGTCGACCATTCGTCTTCTCGAATTTATTCTGAAATAATAATTTAAAAGTATATTATACGTATGAAACGTATATTTTGCACTGCTCATAGAAATATTAATTTTGTATACATATTATGCGTATGTAAAGTGCCCGAGTGTGCGTGCGTGCGTATGTGTGTGCGTGCTCTCTTTTTCATCTCCCTGTTATCTCTCTCTCTCTCTCTCTCTCTCTCTCTCTCTCTCTCTCTCTCTGTCACATAAGCACGATTTCTGTTTATCTCCATCTCCATCGCCGTGCCTCGCAATCTCTCTTTCTCCCTGCATTCGCTGTTCTACGTTAGGCCAGTCTTTAAATTTAGAAATTTCGAATTTCCGCACGACGCCGGTCTACGTACCCTCCGACTTCGTCGTAGGCCTCAGCGTCACGACGGCCGCAGTTTACGACGAACGAACAACTCGTGCTCTTTCCCTCTTCCACTACATCTATCACGGGGCATTTGGAAATTCCTATTATCTTCTTAAGAATTTGGAAATTACAACGGATTTTGATTGTAGTGCCTGATGATCTTCACGTGCCTTCGTTCTTATCAATATCTATTCGATGTGCCTAATATTAAACCAATCCTTTAAATAATTTCGTGCAGAAACTCTTATATTAAAAAGTGTTATAGAAATGAGAATGAATCGCTACGTAATTTGGCTTGAGAAAACAAAATATCCAACTAAACAGTACTTAAGAAACTTTAACGTAAGCGTAATTTTCAGTGTCAATCTGTGATTTAGCTTTAGAATATTGTTAAACAAAGGCCTAATGTGTATATTAATATATCACAATAAAATTCTCGACAGCATCATAGAAGGAGCTGAATTGAAGCGATAGTGTGCAAGACACGGATAGAGAATTGAAATTGCGTTTGTTTAAAACGATCCAAGATTTTCCATGGTTGCTGATCTTCCTTTTTAATGGCATGTGCCATATTTCGTATATGTGCATGGACGTTCACCCTAATGTATTCTCGTCTGTTACTTTTTCATGCTTTCTATCCCCTTCTCTCTTACACTTTCTCTCTCACTCGCCAACTAAAAATAGTAAGAGATATACTGGCAGTGCAGCAGTGAAGTTGATGTCTTGGTTTTTTTTTTTAACTCGAACGTCGTTTTAACCAACTTCACCGCTAGATGTTCCCATGATTATGGAAGTGTGTGCTGTGCGTATATACGTACATTTCCAATGTGCTTTGCATGAACAGTCCTGAAAACATCAGAGAACTGCAAATTATAAATAATTAAAATGTATTATCAAAAGTATGGTGTATGTAATACTTGCATTTTGTTTTTTCGTCTATTTTTTTTGTGTTTTTCTTACCAGTGTTAAAACACAAGTGCTATTTTCTGCGTAAAAAATATTTGCCGCATTATAATAAATCTTATGGTAAGTGTGTTGAAATTTATTTTAGCATAGACAAATAATAAAAAAAATAAAAAATTTATATAAATTTATAAAAAAAAAAAAAAAAAAAAAAAAAAAAAATAAATAAAGAATTTATATACAATGTTGAATGATTTTCATTACATTTTATTATTACCCGAGTACAAGTGCTTAATTTACTTACATAAATAAAGATAAATTACATTTTTGTAATATATGTCATATAATTTTTATAATCGAATGAAATTTAAGAATTTGTATATCCAAATTTTTTTAAATTAAAGGATTTTATATTGTCTTTTTCCGATAAGTCCTGATTAAAATATTAATTTCATCATCAATGTTCATAGGAAAAAAAAAGAACAAAAGAATTAAATATTCTTAAATATTCTATAGGAACATGAAATCATTTGTAGCTACAAAAGAATTTCAATACACGTGACACGATCGATATAACCTAATCAAATTAATCTTATAGATTTTTACAATGTGCTTTAGAAGACTGTTTTTATAATTATTAAAACTATTAAATACTCTATCAATTACAATTTACAATTTATCTGTAATACATTATACTGTATATGTAATATAAATATATATTACTGTCTTACATTGTCCTGTCTGAAAGATTATCGATCTCAATAAATAAATCACACTTAAGTGCTCACATAAAAATGTAATGTAATCACGTACATCTTAATTAAATCTTTTTTAAATTATATTTTAAATGCTAAAAAATATTATAACAATGTAATTATGAGATTAATTTTTCGATAGAATGACAACATATTTAGTGTTACAAATTTATTATTAGAATCATTATCAGCTTCTACACAATCATTATTTTTTAATGTGATATTAATATATTTTATTTTTGTAGCAGTAGTAATTGATTTTATTCATATATTTAAAATAAATTAAGAATCCTTCAAATTAATAGAAATTAAATTTATATAATTAATATAAAGTTTTTCTTTAAGTAAATCAATTTTATTGAAAATTTTGATTCTATTAATTCTACTCTAATTGGCAACGTGTTATTATCAACAATAACAATATGACAAGAATAATAAAACTTTTCAAACAATACATTTCAAACAATAATTAATAATTATTATAATATTATAAAATTTATCATTTTTAATAAATGTATATCATTCATACAAATGTATAATATATTATTTTTACAAAAATTCAAGAGTTACATACTTTCATTGAATGGAAAAATTGATAAAATGATGATTGTAGTTACAATATTAAAAATTTATATTGAATTACTGATACCAAAGCTAAATAATAATGTAATATATTACTTATATATTTATTTTCTTGCTTCATAGATTTTAGTTTGGTTTTATAAAACTTGACTTGGAACTACTTCTTATGTTCGGTCAATTACAAAAAATTCAATGACAACGATGTTGCGACTAGAATTAAGTCTCGTATTGCTATCTTGTACTCAAATTCTCATGGACCACCATGATTTTCATGGACATCGTAGTCAGTACAATTATAGAAATTCTGGAGGTAATTTTTATGGCACGAGAACGCGAGAAATTCAAATCAAGTATGGGCGCTTGAGAGGTACAATTGTACAGCCAAGGACAGCACATCTACAACTGATCGACGTTTTTCTTGGTATTTGTATACAAAATATAAATTTCCATTCGATCTCTCTCTCTCTCTCTCTCTCTCTCTCTCTCTCTCTCTCTTTCGCGTATGCATATATGTATAATTGTTAAGTTCGTATATATGTTTATAATGACTTATGAATGTAAAATATAAAAGGTTTTATTTTATATTTCGAACAAAATATATTACAGCAAATCAAAAATAAATAAGTAATTATGGAACTGTAAATTTTAATAATTTTACCGTTGATAATATACTGAATTTCTTTGGTTGTACCCTTGCGGCTTTATATAATTAAAAATGAAATCGTAATAAGTGATACAATTGCATATACTTTTAATTTTAGTTTATATACTTCTATTTTTATATTATTCATCTATTATTCGCCGTTCAAATATTTTTCTTATTTTTGTTTAAGTCAGAATTACGTAAATATTTAATCGCGTTATGACGAAACTATTGTCTTTTTAATTTAACTACTATTTACAATTTAACTAAAATTTCATTTAATATTATATTCTAGTAGTACAAAATGTATTAATACACCGATTTATTTAAAATGGTTTACTTTATATCAGTTTTAATAATCCAAGGAATGTAATGTTGTTCCATGTGAAATATGTTAGATGCAGATTGAATATATTAACTTTTTATTTTTAAAAGTAAAGATCATATCTATTGTATTATTATACGAATAGTATTTATTTATGTATATTATCCCTTCATTTTTCATTAGTACTTGTATTTCTATTATTTTAAATTTTCAACTCCAAATTTTTTTTTTATTTTTATGTATTTCTTAATTAATTGATTGAAAGTGTTATATATATATATATATATATATATATATATATATGTGTGTGTGTGTGTATATCTTTTTATTAAGTAAATAAATATAACATTTAATTAATAATACCGAAACTATCTGTGTTGTTACAAATTAATGTAAATACAAATTTTTTTATATATTTGAACAGATTATAAAGACTGAATCGTTTTTATAGAAAAATTAATAACCGAAAAAAAGTATAATAATGTAATAATTGTAATGAATGAGCTCTTCTATTATTCGATTACTGAAAGTAACAATCAAAATATATATAAATTAATATAGATGAAACAATTTATATTTGCATCTATGGGAAAGTACACGAAACTCTACAAATATGTTTTACAAAATATGTTTTTAACAATATTTTTTAAATATTTGATTTCAAATTGAAATTAATTTAGAAAGACTAATATAATAGTAAAGGGGAAATAAGTTTTGTATTTAATAAAATTCACATTGGAAAATGCAGCAAATTCGAATGTTGAATATATTAATGATATTTATCTTTTTAATCTTAGGAATATTATAATAGTGTTGATTCAAAATATCTTTTAATGTAGTATTTTTCTCTTTTTTCTGAAATATCATATATTCGATATTCCTTCATTAGGTCAAGTAGAATAATTCATATATAATTATATATATTTTGTTTATATATATATATATATATATATATATATATATATATATATATATACAATATATACAATATATAATTCAGTATTTTATGTTCACTCTATGAAGTTGGTATCTCGAATAGAAATTTAAAATTTCTTATGTAAATATCTTAGAGCTTTCTATAAGAAAATTAGTTTCTACAATAAATTTAAATTACCTTTTCAAATATCATAATAATTTTAAAAATTTGCATTTAATAATGGTAATTTTACACTTAATATTAAGTTAAAATTTGCAATTCATTTCACTGAAAACGACTGTATCTTATATTAACTTTTATCATTGCATTTCCAAAGTCAATTGAAGTACAGAATATTGCGTATAATTCACAAATCTACTTAATTAATATCGATTTTTTAAATACTAAAATATATTGTTTCATTACTAAGAATTATCGATAGTTTGAAAATATGATAATTTTATCTGGAATTAGTTTTCATTCGAGTACAGGTCAAGATTATATAGTTATAGAATTTCATCATAATAACTAAGAACTGTTGTATTTTTAAATTTTATTTAAATTTGAACTACGTACATGGAGACTTAATACGATTTTATCATCGTGCGAATGAAAATTGAATGGGAAGAGAAGTGTGTCGGTCAAACTACCAAAATAGATTGATGGTCTTCAGCCTTACATAGATTTTAATTTAAGAAGCGTATATATTTATCTGACGTCATATCATATTTATAAAAAATTCTTTTGCATTATTTATATCAACAATTAATTTCTATTAATAGATATGTATTGTTGTAATATTTCGCTATTTAACTTTTTGGATGATTGTCGAAATATTTTTAATGAATATCGGAACAAATTATTTATTAGTAGAATATGTAAAAATGAAAAGGTAATAGAATATAATAAAAATTTAATACAATTTAACATAATATAATATAAAATAATGTGAAACGATTATTTCGTATAAATGAAATATTCAATATAATTCACATATTTAAAATAATATATTGTATATTATAATATAGTGATTTGATATTATACGATTTATGAAATAATATAAAATTCAGTAGAGAAAATAATATATCATATGATATAGTATATGATCCAATATATGGTAAAACATAATAAGATGTACAGGCTATTATAGGTATGGTAATATGTTGTTATGATATATGAAATTATATCACATAAGACTATATGATATGATATAAAATTATATGAAATGATACATTTTACGATATGACATAATCTAATGTAAATTAAAGAATATTTGGCGCAAAATTACTTATTGGATTTGATAAACAATTTTGAAACAAAAAACATTTTAAATACCGTCAATATTGGCTTTAATTGAAAATAAAACTTTTAAATAATACCCATTTAACAATTATTAATACTTCAAATTTTTTTAGATGCAAATATAATTTCTTTTGTATTCAAAAATGACTCAATTAAATTATAAATGAAGAACTCCTCGCTAATAAAACAGTATATATATGTTTAAATTATGGTTTATTTTACTCATTTATATTTCATAAATACACAACAACTATATCATATCATTTATATAAGTTATATAATACTTCATTAATATTTTATTAGAATTTTAATTTATACTAATATTTCATTACAAATTCAGATAAGTAAATAATAACTATTCGTACATCAGTATTTTACATTATTTTGTCTAATATCCAACAAGTATAGATATGAAAAAAAAATAATTAGTCAAAAATTTACGAAATAATTTCTAATATTTTTAATTATGAATTATTGAATATAGAAAATGTAATTCTGGATATATCAGATGAAATTAATTGGATGCGAGTCGAATGCAAATAACAACTAATTTCAAATATTAATATTGAATGATTAATACTAATGATATATTTGTATGTATAATACAATAATAAGAATCGTTCGTGGAAGTTACAATGAAAAATGAAATTAATTAATTAAATCTATTGTTATAAATTTTTTTTTTTAACGAAGTGAAAATAGATTTTCTATTAAATCCAAAACAGAATATGAAATTTTAGAATCAAATCATTATTCGATATAGTCAGTTTAAAAGTACAAATGGTATAAAATACTCAAGTATAAATCATTAATTATATAGAAACATTTTTGTAACTAATAATTTAAAAAATCTATCATCCATTGAACTTTGAATATGTGAAAAAATAAATTTATTAATTTCATAATAAAAATGAAGATAATGGTTTGTAATTTTAATAGAATAAAAATATTTTATTTCATTTTCATAGCTACATTTTCTTATCAATAATGTAAAAATAATTTTAATTAATTAATCGCTTCATCAATATTTTTTTCATTCTTTTACAAGAGTAAGTAATATGAACCAAGAAAATTGATTTAATTCTAAAAAGAAAACAACAAATTTTATATACAAATAATAAATCTTTATGATTCTTAAAATAGGCATAAATTTGATAAAAAATAGATAAATCAATTAATGTTAAAATGTTTGATGTTATCAAATGTTACATATTAAAAGCATGAATATTAGTACCTAATAGAAGTAAAAGCCCTCAAAGTAAATTTAAACGAACAACAAAATATCATAATAAAAAAAATGAAAGAAATGATAACATCAAAAACTTCGTTAAAGTTCATATAATTAAGTATTTTAAAAACAATGTAATTAAAATAACAAAGCGTTCCATAGCTTTAAATTTAATAAATAAATTGGAAAGCGAATTAAAAAGAAATTTTATTTCCTTTCAAATACTTTCATTATAATAAACATAATAATAATAATTTTTACTTGGAACGAATACTTTACATTACTAATATTTATTAATATATTCAGAGATAATGTAACACTATAATTCATTGATATAATCAATAATGACATTTTTTTTATTAAAAAAATATTTTTAAAATACTATCAGAAAGAATAAGAAAATATAATGTACTAATCAAAAACAAGATTAAAAATAATTATTATTCGACATTAGGTATTTGTAATAAATTATTTATTAACAATCATATATTTGTATATATATATATATATATATGATTATACAAGATATATACAATATTTATTTTCTATACCCACTTTATTTATTAATATACTCTATGGTAACTATGTTATATATTTTATGATTAATTAAAAGTTCGTGAAAAGTTATGGAAATAAAAAATGATTGAATGTTGCAGTTCTTCAATGTCCAATAAACGTATAGGATTAGTATTTCGATAAATTTGTAAATCTCCATTTTTTTTTTTAGGTAAAATTACAAATGTGTGTATCGGATTTCCCTGATTATTCAGTAAATATATAATCAATAATTTTATTTAAGTATTATTTTGTTGACTAAAATATCAATGTCAAACTAAATGATGATTAAATCAAACGTGATGATAAAAATCATTCGCCTAATGGATACTATCGCATCTTCATTAATTATAAATTGCATAAATTTAGCATTACATTATTTATTATTAATATTTTCAATATGCAGGAGTTCCATACGCTGAGCCCCCTATAGGCCATCATCGATTCGAGCCACCAACGACCCAAACTCCCTGGACAGGTGTCCGGCATTTTGATAGCTTTGCGCCAGTTTGCCCCCAGGTACTGCCAAATACTGAGGAGGAGATCGATACGACGCGTCATCGATATCTTAAGAGATTGTTACCATTCTTACAAAATCAAAGCGAAGATTGCTTATATTTGAACATCTATGCACCTCATCAAAATAACAGTAAGTTATTAATATTACGCAGATATTATTTATTATATCATATGCAGTCATTCGCTATCCCCTTGATAACGTTACTTCTTAGTTATGGAAAAATCAACATTTAGATTAGTTTAAGCGACTTCGTTTATAAGATCCGAATGGGTACTAAAACAATATATTTTCCATTTAAATACCTTACGGTGTATATTCGTCTTTATATTTCTGTAATTTAATTATTAATATATAAAAAATTGTTAAACATTAATGTGTCAAATTTGCGATTGAAAAAAAAAAAATTACAATATCATAGCTCACAATATTGTATTTTAATTAACTGATTGATTTAATTTTCATTATTGATTATCTAACTATTGATTGTATTAATTTTGCAGTCTATTAGCTAAGTGATATCAATGAAGATAAGCATTAATGGATAGAATATCTTTCTACCATTTCGAAAAATTGTAAACTAAGAAAATAAAAAATATAGAATGAACGTGTAAAACATACGACAGGTTCGAAAAAAGAAGGCAAAACATCGAAAATCGTTTCCTTCTTGATGCATTTTACTTTTGAACCACTGGAGTACATAAAACTTGTCTGATAGTTTCTATGTCGGTGGGAGCGTACACACTTTTTTTCTTTTTCATTTAATTTTATATTTATTTTCCTTACTTTTTCTTACTTCTAGCTCAACTAATCCTTTATAGTTTTCTTATGTTATTTTCGAATGTGCTCACATTATTCTCACGAGTTTCTACAAAATTTCTTTAAGGCTAGATTTTCTATACCCTATCATTAAAGCGAAACTGTTAACATCAAAGTTTAATGCATTTCAAGATTCTCTTAAGTACTGAAAACAAAATTCTTAATTACAATTCAAATCAAATTAATTTGTTCCATGATAAAGAATTTTATTTGATATTCTACTCTACGTTATCTAATTTTCAGTAAAACGCCTTTCTGTTTATTAAATAAATAAATATCGACAATTAAAAGGACCCTATAAAAAATATAAAATATTTGATATCTTTAAATATAATTCTTAAATCTTTTATAATACTCGTACATTATATTTTAATCCTATAATAGTTCAATATGATAATTGTCTACGAAAATACGAAAAAAATTCAATTTTTTCCTAGTGTTATTTTATATAAATTTAAACTAATACGAGGACATTGAAATAATAAATTTTTTTACGCCCTTTTTACATTGAAAGTTGGCAAATTTATTTATTTAAATTTTCAAAACTTCAAAATAGTTAACACAAAATTGTTAAATGCATTGTTTAAATTAGTATGTTTATAAATCATAAATTGTGTTTTGTATGAATAATATATCAGTTTCATAAAGGTAATTGTTAATATTACAAATGATTAAAATTCGGTTGGGTATGCGGTGTCGCTATGGATCGGAAATGAAATGAATGCAGGCATGTATGATTGGATAAATCGCAAAAGGGGAGAAATATGTAAAATCAATCAATAAGAACAATCATCATTCCGACACATAGTTTATGTGTTTCAGAAGAAGACAATACGTTGAAGTAAGATAAGATTTTTTTTTACATTAAATTCAAATTTAATATATTGAGACCTCTAACAAGACTATGTAAGTAGCAATTTCTCGTATCTTATGGTGGTATTCTGTATTCTTATGGTGGTAGATATAAACTAAGTATAAAAATCTACTTAAATATGAATATTTTTATTATTTTAGTTGATTTTTTTATCTGCTAGTTAAAAATATTAAGTATTTTAGGTACTGTAAATTATGATGAATTTCATTATTCACACTACCAGTGTCTACCATAATTAGTGTTATAAAAGGAAAAATGATAAAATTAATGAATTTACTTAGCCTTACAAAATATAAGAATATTTTACATTTTGCTTAGTTTTCAATAATCAATAACTTTTATTTGACGAAATTGAAATTTATTACAATTAAACTGGATAATTAAATTAAACGATACAAAAAAATTATTACTCGTTTTCTTATCGTTTCAGAAAAGTTCATTTAATAATATATACAGAAATTATTATAATTATAATGAAGAACTTGCGATAATTCGGTTATAACTACAGAAGGAAATCAATAGCAAATTTTGAATAAGTAATTATAATAATATGCAATATATAATAAGTATCAAATAATTATTATTTTTGAAATTTTAGATTATGAGAGTAATTTTTTATTATGTTTAAAGAATAATAATAATAGTAGTGTTAGTTTAAATAAATAATTATTTTTTTAATAGAGATGTTGTCATTTATATATATTAAATTCGTGTAATACAATCGCAATATTGACTTATATATTAAAATACGCACGCGCGCGTTCACACACACACAGACACACACACGCATGCGAACACATATACAGAGGGGCACATTGTACATTTGTTACATACATATATTTGTTATATATATATATATATATATTCAGCTTCTTTCATTTCTTACTTAATACGACATATATTAATGTTTAATTATATTTGATCCATTAATTCAAATTGAAATATTTGAATTCAACTATTAAATACATCCAATATCTGCAATCAAATTATCAATTACTTACAATGTTATATATTTATATTTTTGTTATTTATTGATAAATAAATCAAATTATTTTATATAAACGCACGTTTTTTATATATATAATCGTATAAAATTATACGAATTTGTATGATTCAGAGTACTTCGCAGTGGCAAAGTTCTTGATATAATTTATCTAACATAAACTAGAGCCACCGCATTTACATACATGGGTACATACAATTTTAAAGACTGAACATAAATTGCTAGAGAGGACTTAATGTGTACAATTATACAATAATCTGATCATCATTGGTTTATTCACTAATTTTATAATATGTGAGATCAGATTGAATTTTAGATGTACATCGAAAATTTAATACAATTACTCGATAATGTTTACAAATTCATATTTTTTAAACATAAACACTAACCGAAATTTAACATTTTAGAGAAAACAACAAATTAGAGAAAATAGTTTGATTCCCGGACTCCCTCATAGCGAATATTGCATGCACTGTCACTCAGCGAATTGCTTTAGTTAGTTCAACCATATACATTTTTATCTATTTTACTGTCTGCATCTCTCGCTCTCTCTCTCTCTCTCTCTCTCTCTCTCTCTCTCACTCTCTTCTTTTCAATACCACTATCTATCTGCATAACTATTTATATAACTATTTATCTGTTTATCTATCTATCTCTTATAGATAATTTCCCACGCCCTCTCTTATCTCTCTATTGTTTTAGAATATTTTTATTACAGTTGCTCGTAAAAACGACTTTTATACATATACAGAATATATGTGAAACGGAGGGAAATAACGATTTTTTTCTTTTTTAAATTTAATTATCATATACATTTTAATATTTAAATATACGTGTTAATATTTAAACTTTTGCCTAGTTTATAGATGGAGACTTTTATTATTTTATGAGATCTAGAGTTTTTTGTTTATATAAAGTTATATTTGAGGGTGAATACAGTGCATGAATGTTTGTCGAATGCAAATTTTAAAATGATAAAATATGTATTTTGATTTTAGTTTAATTTATTTTTATTATATAAATAGAAAACATTTATTTTAATCGAATATATGATATATAAGAATTTAATATGAAAAATCATAGTATAATTTAAAATGTAAAAATTAATAAAAATGATAATGAAAGTTTATTAAATAATTCATAATTTAAGCTGTCATTGAAATACAAAAGTTGTAATTAATACTTCATTATACAACTTGGTCCGCTATTCATGAGCTTTACCTGCTAAGCGTTTAAGCGCTTCTCTCTCTCTCTCTCTCTCTCTCTCTCTCTCTCTCTCTCTACTTGTTTGCAACTGCTGTCAGGTACTTTTGTTTTAAAAGTTTATTTATTTGATTTGAGGTTCTTAACATTGTTTTAATTGATTAATGTAATTGGCACAATTAAATATAATTTTCTTGTTTTTCATTTTTTTGTTCTCTTACATTATTGAAACTCTATAACGCTCCCAGATTTTATTAGAAACGTCGAGTATTTTTACACGTATTTATTAATTTTCTCTTATATGAACTTATTTTTATTTATTCTACCTATATATATATATATATATATATATATATATATATATATATATATATATATTCGATTATGTTGAACCAATAGAAACTTGGACAAATTAATGTGTCAACTGTTTATACAAATACTGAAGCACAATTGTATTGAAATTTATGAAATATATACAAATTCTTTATAATTATTCGTACATTAAAATTTGAGATATAAATATGCACGTGAAATTTAATCTTGTTTCAATTAGAGCAAACTTCATGACTTTTTAACGTTCGACATTAAAAGATCATTCGGTAAATATTAAGCAAGATATGTGATAATTGACTTCGTGTGTTTACAAGAGAGAGAAAATATTCTTAAAATAGAGGTGTGAATTTAGTATGCTAGTTGGTATAAGAAGTGAGTAGCGATTGATGTAGTTTATAGATCTGGTTTATATATATAGAGCTTTGATTCAATAAACATGGTCTTGAGTGTATAATCCGAGATAATTAAGTATTTCAAATAAACTACGAAGTTGCATCGAATCGGTAGTATATTCCAGAGAAGCGCAACGAGAAAAAAAAAAGTTATAACTTGGCGTAAACAAAAACTATAATAAATATCATTCTATCTTGAAAAAATAAATCAGACAGCAAGTAAACAACTGTCCCAAGATAGTTATTAATGCAGAAAAATTCTATAGAGGTGTAATCAGGTTGCTTATACCATCTGCTTATACTTTTCTATGAAATAATTATTATTATTGATAATTGTCACAATTTGGCTATTAAATGTCTAATTACGAATCGGACATTCAATTAGATTCAAAGTAAATTTTTAGTGCTTTATGGAAAAAATATTAAAGAATTTATACGTTAAAACCTGAAATTTTAATAAAATGATTAAAAATTGTATAATTAACAAGAAATATTTTCAATGTATACC